TTGAATTGTGTTTTGGGAGATAAAGTTTATTTTCTAGGCAAATATTGACTGCAATTAATTGCTGTTACGCTGATCACTCTTTATAACATTCTGGAGTATATGCATATTGCCGTTAGAAAAACTGAAGTAAATATTAACATTTGAATCATTCTCAAAACTTTTGGCCATGACTGTAATTCTTTCACAAATGTTAAAAAGGCGGTCTGCATGCCTAAAGTCACTTGGAAATCGGCGTAATAAAAAAAAACATGTTGTCTATTGTTCAAATAGGTGAACATGTTTTTTTTATTTTCCATAGTTAGGTTGCACAGTCTTAGCCTGAGCTGACATCTGTAGTTACAAACATGCAACTGAAATCTGGCTCCTTGATTAAAAACATCAGAAAGTTCCTGCTCACATCCATCAACTATATACAGCAATATTAAAAGTTGTTTGTTCTTTTCCCTCTGCATTAAAAATTAATCCCAAAAATCTAGAAAATGTTGTATGAAGGAACACACGGACTTCTGCACTATACCTAAATATTTTTAAACAACCTTAGCTTTGCAATCTGGGCTATTTGTTCCCTTGGCCACCCCTACCTCTGATCAATATAAATGATTGTCTCAAACATATTAGGAAGGCAAAAGATTGAAATAATCAACTGCTTCCAAGGCACACCTGCAATGCAAATGCAATGCTGCCATCAAAGCAAAAACCCTTAAAAACAATGTTAAGTAATTGCTTATGTATTACATACCAGTTTGAATTTTTTCACTGTGGATCTAAATTGTAGAGCATAAAGAAAAGCCATCGAATGAGAAACTCTGTCCAATGTTTTAACTGTTGCAGTAACTGTGGGTTGAGGGGTCTACTGTATGTGTGTATCTCTGAACAGAGACCTGAGGCATTAGTGTAGGCTGAGTGGTCTTCAATCGCTGCAGCGCCTCCAGGAGGAAAGGAGTTTCCCTAAAGGCCAGGAAACCGGAAACATAGGGGGCTGTCAGGGTCACCATTTGACTGTCCTCGTACAAGACCTTAAAGGAAGGAGGAGAAAGCAGTCAGTTCACAGCACTGGGATTAGACACAGTGAGCCCTTCTAGTTTTATTCACCTGTACTATTATGGTTAGATTAATATTTAATCAAGCATCTAAACACCAAATTTATTAATTTCGTTGCACCCCTGTGGAGCAATGACAATAAAGAATTCTGATTCTGATTCAAAGCTGTGCAAAATGAAACAAACCCTTAAGAACAATTGTCGTTTAGGATATACTTCATAAATAATATAATTTAGTTAATTGGTTTCCGTTTCTACTCATAAAAACTATGTAGATATTTAGATAAAAGAACCTGCTCTAATTTTTTTAACTAATATGCTTAAAATTATCCAACATCTCATGTATGCAATAGAAAACGACCACTATGAGGTTTACTAGTTTATCATCAGACCATCTTGCTTTCTAAAGCTAATGGAAAAGAAAGATTAATTAAAGCATCCAATAACAAGTGAACATCTCCTAATCTGTTCAATGACGCGGCTGTACAGTTATGTAAAATATGACTATTCACATATTTCAAGGCTGCCAACCTCTATCACCACTTTGTTGGCTTTATATTTCTTCCAGCATTTATAAAACGGCACAGAGATTTTTTCTTATTTAGCAAAAGATTCAAATCTGACTTAAGCAGTGAGCTGCCTTTGAAAAAATAGAAAACTTCTGTAACTTTAACAGTTTTTCTAATGATTTTCTTTTCACCTAAAATCAGACACCAGACAAAGATGAGAACAGTTACAATACATAGGTTACAGCAGGCATCCCCAAACTCGGTCCTCAAGGCCCGCTGTCCTGCAGGTTTTAGAGGGTTCTCTGCTGGTTTAGAGGAAACAAGATTTTTTTCTATCACCTAAAGCCTCTTCTTGTACTAAAATGTTCAGTGGACAATGGGCACATCAAACAGACTCAGATGTTATTTTGTCCCTTGTCTAAGAGGTCATTCTTCATAAAAGCAGAAAACACATTGTCATCTGCCAATGGGCAATCTCTTCCTCCTTGGGAGAGTTTTAAATCCGACGCTGTAAGAGGTTTTTATATTGTCTGCTAAAATGAAATACATAGGTGTCGCCAGAGGTAACATAATCCTGACATGCATTTCATCTAAAAAAAGAGATTCAAACTGTGCCTATTTTATTTTATGTGTCTAAATAGAGTACAATCTCAGAGTAAAGTTCAATCCATCCTCAATGATTAGAGCAGCACCGCTTCATCAGTCAAGCTAAACTGACTGGGAAGGAAAGGACACCAGTAATCCAGTAATCGAAGGAGGGGGCGAGCTGCAGAGATCAACAGCACAAAAGAAGAATGTGTCAAAAGGGCAACTACTAGCTGTGCGCTTTCAGATCTGACCTTTAGAGAAGAGAGCTAGAATACTGTTTTCAGTTGGTCGCAAGTTTTGCAGTGGACAAAAAAAATTTAGAAGAAGGTGATCTGGTCAGAAGAGACCATAAACAAACTTTTTTACCTACATGGAAAACATTCAAGAGAAAGAAAAAAAAAACAGACTAATACAGTATTTACTCATTGAAACATGGTGGTGGCAGTATTATGCTGTGAGAATGCTTTTGTTCAGGAGGAAGGCTTAGAATATTGAATGTTTTTGTGTGGATTATGTATAGCATGGGCTGAATTTACTGTTAATGGAGAAAATAAAGTGTGGTATAGTCCCATTACCCAGAATGCAACTGTTTTTGAATTAAAGAGAGCTTCTAGCTTGAGCTAATTATTAACTCTTGTCCCTGGTTGGGCTTTTAGTTAATCAAAACTAAGATTATTAAACAATTGAATAATACAACTATGATGACATCACAGAAGTTTCTGTGCACATATTCTCCATCTCTGTAAAATAAAGTCGTTCCTCTGACCCTAAACAACATTTCTATATATTTGTAATCCATTAAAGATTTCTCTAGACACCTCTGGGTTATTATTTATTTATTTTTTGTTATACAAAAACCTTTTAGACGATCAACTAACCCTTTTCATTTGATATTCAAATAATATTACTTTATAGAATAAAAGATAGAAATGATACAATAAACTTGTAAAACTTTTGAAACATCTGCTGTACGAACTGGCCTTCTGGTCTGAAATAAACAGTCAACATCCTGAATTACAGAATAGAAATAATGTCAATAGATTAGAATAATCCGACCAAGCAAAAGATGACAAATTTTGGGTCACTCTACTGTGTGTTTACACTGCAAAAATGATCTAAAAATTAGTAAATATTTCTTAAAATAAGTTTTTTTTACACTTGAATTTGTATTTTTACCCTTAAAATAAAATAATTATATAATATGCACTTCAAATGAGACTGCAGTTGTTTTTGTTTTTTATTTTTAAATGATAATTGTCTTATTCCTTTGGCAAACTGTCTCACTTATCTACTCAATCCAAGAAAAATGCACGTATTGTAAGAAAAAATGTCTTACTTAGATTATAATTTTTTGCAGGGTAAAACAGGTATTTGCCGCACTATAAAAGGGTCTTAAGGTAAATAAAAAAAATTGATAACAAGATTAAAGGTTTGTCCCTCAGCACTATTTTCTATTATTTTCAGCAGCAGCATTAGAGCAGCTTCCTGGAATCCTGCAGTTAATTAGCAGTGTTCAGGGGATCAGGGCCTGGCATTTCTCTGGAGCACAGGCTGCCACAGCTCTTTGGTCACTCCAACAATACTTTAGTGTTGTGTCTCAGATGGTGCAGAATCAGAGCTTAAACTCTTTTCATTAAGGCAAACTCCAGATGCAGATGGGTTTTTAAAAAGCTGGGGATTTTGCACAGAAGCAGGGGAACTGGGTCTCAACACGTGAACGGTTTCCTGACAAATATATCAGTAAGTCTGTCTTTAAAACAGGTAACTCCAGTGAACTAAAACCTTTGCCTTAACACAGCAGCACTGCTTTCATTCAGTTCAAACTGTACAATAAAGTGTTGTTATTTTATTCTCAAGCAACAACCACTTAAGAGTCTTTAAGTCTTGGTGAAAAGTCATGTAGGAGAAAGCAGAGAGCACACCATAATTTCAAAGTGGCATTAGTTTCTTTTAAAATTAAGGAAATGTAAATAACCTTTTAAGGGTACATTTTTGTACCCCGGCATGTAAACCATCCCTCTGAAAGCAGTGTGCTGTTATACTAAGTGGCACTTGAAGAGCATTCTGGGTTTAAAGATCCTTCTCAGGGGGATGTGTCTGGATTTTAATCAGCCGTTTTGCAGCTTCTCCAGAAGGCACATAATCTGCTCTCTTAATATTACTCCCACAAAGGTTTACCAGTCCAACTGTAAACTGTTAGGAACACGAAATGGGTGCACCGTTCGCATGTGCAGTAAACAGCAGCGCTGCAGAGAGTGGCATAATGTTCGGTATTTTAGATATAAATATATGAGGTTCTGATGAACAATGTAATATTATCTTAAAAAAGTTTATGTGGTATGTGAATATATACTAAATGTGTCTAATTGGCTTAAGAGACAAATTTAAGACAAAGCAAACTTTTATAAACTTGATCTTTAATATTAATAGCACATATTCTGACATCAGGTATTAAGAGCACTCGAGTTGAGGGGGGATGAGGGGGGATGGCACCCCCCTTCTTAAAAAAAAATCTTAATTATCATCCCCCTTCGTAAATGACCATCCCCCCATACCATTTTATTACTGAAAGTGTAAAATTTCTACTACCGGTATATATCAACAGTAATGGCAATAATACTGCCCTCCAAATATTTAGCTGGCTGTGGGCTTACAAGTAGCCTATGCATCCATCCATCTTCTGACACATTTAATCCCAAGCAGGGTCGCAAGGGGTGCTGGTGCCTATCTCCAGCTGTCTACGGGCGAGAGGCGGGGTACATCCTGGACAGGTTGCCCGTCCATTGCAGGGCAACAGCCTGAGCCTGAGCAAAACGAATAAAATAAAAAAAGTGGCCTACCATGACTATGAAGCTGATCCCAGTGGGAAATGTGTACATTGCATTAGTCCCCTAACTATGTAGTGACACTGATAGCCATTGTAGTCCAGGGACTGACTGCAGTTCTACTGTAAGATCACCTGGTCAAGGTCAATGATGATGCTTCCAAAAAACAAAACAAAAAAACACAATTCCCGTTTTTTTTTTTTTTACAATAAGACTACTGGGTATTAATTTAAAAAAAATTTGACTCATGTCTGTTAAGTTTAGAAGCAGAAAGCATATTTCCTCTGGTGGGTGGAGGAGGTTAGACCAGACAGGGTGGTGATTTGCACAGATTCTAAAGCTGCAATAGAAAGCATTCATTCAGGAGGAAATAATAGGAAAGATTTTGTATTAGAATTTCATCAGAGTTTGTTTAGGTTATTTAGGTATGGAATAGATGTTCAGTTCTGTTGGGTTCCAGCACACGAAGGGGTGAGAGGAAATGAAATAGCAGACAAGATGGCTAAAAAGGCTTTAGGAAAGCAGAATATACATCAGATTCCATTTGGGAAAGTGGAAAGTAAATCAATAATTAAAAAGAAAGAAACAGAATTATGGCAAAAAATATGGGATGAAGATGAGAAAGGAAGATTATTATATAGGGTTCAAAAATCTGTAATTGTTAAAAAAAATATATATTGAGAAAGAAGCAGAATCTATAATAGATTAAGAACTGGACATACCTACTTGAATGAGTTTTTGTTTGTACTATGGAAGAGAAATAATGATATATGTGAGGGTTGTGAAAGAAAAGAAAATGTGGATCATGTTTTGATGGATTGCATTAAATATGCAACTGAAAGAGAGAGGATGAGGAAAGTAATTAGAATAAAAGGAGAGAAAGGAGTATTAAAGGAATTTTAGGGACAGATGGAGATAGGGAGGAAAATGTGGTTATCAATACAGCATTGTTTTTATTTTAACATAACACAAAAACAAAAAAATAGAATATAGAAGGCGGAACTATAGCGCTACACAATCATGTACAGTAGGTGGCGGTATACAGCTAAAAGTTGTTTGCAATCCGACAATCTAACAAAGAAGAAGAAATTTCCTCTGCTGCTGTTCTATCATATCACCACTAGAGGGAGCTCGGTTCTGTTTACTTCTGTCTGAGGTGCTGTGGGGTTCGGCTTACCGTCAAGTCGGGGTAACTGAGCACCACCAGCTGGGCGCAGGCGTTGACTTCATCCCCTTTAATGAAGGAGAGGTCTGCGCCACCAACCCGCTTCAGGCCGGAGAAGCCTGGACTCTTCTGCCAGTCCTCGGTGTCCTCCTCCACCACCTGCTGCCTCAGCTGCTCCTGCTCGCTGCATCAGAGCCACAACACACATACATGACTGACTACTATCTCACCACTGCTATTAGTTCAAACTCAGGGTTTAAAATGTTTTATTAACCCAGAATGCAGTTCATATTAAAACTCAAAGTACGCTGCCAGGTAGAAAGAGTAAAAACATCCAGTCAATATTAAAACTGGCGGTGCAGAGAGATCACTCTAACCTTTCCCACTGTTTGATCAACTCTTCTGTTGGAGGACTGGACATCTGGGTTATCCTTTGCGGCAGTTTTTAAAATGTATTTTCATTGAAAAAGAGCTAACCAACACAAGACAGGAGGTTTATTTCCGCAAACACTCAGGGCGGAGTCTTTTTACGGGCATAGACTGCCCCCTAGTGGAGATGGTCATTTCTTCACGTTGCACATCTCAATGCAGAATAAAGTCCTTTCATTTTTTAAAATGTATTATTATTTAACCTTTATTTAACTAGGAGATAAAAATCAATTGAGATTAAAAACCTCTTTTTCAAGGGAGCCCTGGCCAAGAGGCAGCAAAGTTGCATGTAGTTTTTTTTTTTTTCAGATTAAAGGTGTTTGAGTGCCAGATACATTAAATGACAGGTACGTAAAAAAAAAAAAAATCAAGTAAAACAATTACAGATCATTGAGGCTGCTACATATTCTTTCACTTTCAACTTAAAAGCATTGGTAATTATTAAATGGCTGATTTTTTTTAGCATTGAGACATGGGGAGTTGGTTCTCAGTTTCTGTCTGACGGGTTGGTGCATGGAACAAAATGGCAAGTCAGGTAGATGAGGAAGGCTGGAACAGTTTCCACTGGGAAAGAGAGAGGAGATAGGGGAGCAGTGTGGGGGTTAAAGGTCTTTGCTCAGAGACCCAGAGTGGCAGTCCATGGGAGTGGGGCTTGAACTCAGAACCTCTGGATTCCAAGCTCTATGCCCGAACCACTAGGTCACCACTCCCTTTGAGCCCCATTTCAATTTCCAGAGGAAGAATAAAGAAAATTGGGGAAGTGGAATTAGTGAAGGNGGCAAGTCAGGTAGATGAGGAAGGCTGGAACAGTTTCCACTGGGAAAGAGAGAGGAGATAGGGGAGCAGTGTGGGGGTTAAAGGTCTTTGCTCAGAGACCCAGAGTGGCAGTCCATGGGAGTGGGGCTTGAACTCAGAACCTCTGGATTCCAAGCTCTATGCCCGAACCACTAGGTCACCACTCCCTTTGAGCCCCATTTCAATTTCCAGAGGAAGAATAAAGAAAATTGGGGAAGTGGAATTAGTGAAGGTGTTAAGAAATGGAAACTTGCTGGTAATTTACAATAATGTGGAGCATAAAAAAAAGTATTGGACACGGGAAACGAGAGGTTATAGAGATAAAAGTTGTAGGAGAGAACAAAACAGTGAAAGGAGTAATAACAGGAATACCAATTAACACGAATATTCATTGATTAGGGAATTTCATTCTTGTAAGCCTGGAAAACACAATACAGAGACTTTATAAAAACAAACAAGAGGAAAGGGTGGCAACGTGTCACCACTGATAGAGTTTTCAGAGTCAGTTCTACCAGAAAGAGACAAAATAGGTTTCATGAGTTTCCCAGTTAGGCCGTTTATTCCGCCTCCACTCAGGTGCTATGGGTGTCAGAGCTACGGACATGTTGCAGAGGTTTGTAGGAGAAAACAAAGGTGTTCAAGATGCGAAGAAGAGGAGTGCAAGCTGAAGAAAGGTGCTGCAATAGTGAAGGCCAGCATAGATTTAACTATGGAGGATGTGAGGCGAGAAAGAAAGCAGTAGAAATACAACATGTTAAAACAAACAAATATAAGCTGCAAGATAAAGTAGAAGGAATATATTACTTCATTCTGACACCAGAGAAACTCTTTCTATTCATAGTGTATGTCATGAACTGCACAGACCAAGCCAAGCATAAGGCAGTGAAAATCAGGATCCTTGTGAGAGGAGCTGAAATGTTTTTGGACTCAAAGAAGTCAGCTGGGAAAATATTTTGGTTCCACAATCCTTACTGGTAGGTGGTGGTAATGCACTTCAAAATTGTTTGCCAACCGCAATTAAATTTCACAAAAGAAATAAAGACAGCATTAAGACATTTTACAATGTAATGCTGACAGATTTCAATGCGAGGTATAAATTGAAGTTTTAATGTGCATCAGAAACAATGTTCATGAATCTATAACTGGGTGACAGGATCTGGACTATTCATCAACTCTGCCAAATGAAAATAAAGACATTAAAAAAGCACCGGACAATGTTTTAAGTTTGAAATTTAGCAACTTAATTTAGTATTACCTGTCTAACAACATTTCTTATTATTACATTACATTATTATTAAGGTCTGTNCAACTTAATTTAGTATTACCTGTCTAACAACATTTCTTATTATTACATTACATTATTATTAAGGTCTGTTAACTAAATGACAAAACCCTTTGATATGTAAAATACCAGAATATAAAATACCATACTTTTAAACCCAGACAGCTGTGCTTGAAAGTTTAAATATCGTTCCATTAAAGGAAATGATAAATTCACACTAGTAATTCAAGTCGGACTAAACTAAAAAAGTAATAATAATAATATTAAATTATAATTTATTAAAATAAAACATCAATTTAAAGTGCCTAGGTTATGAACAGTGAACCAAAATACCGATTAACAGGTGCAGAAATCTGACTGAACATTCATTTCCTGAACGCTACAGAAAACACCTGATTTCAGTGACTGCCTCAAAATGTCGCTCAACAAAATAAGTTTATATAAGGAGCTCTACCAGACCAACAAAAAGAGATAAATACATCTAAATTCTCCTTATTTTAGTCAAGATAATGTAAAAATTTACTAGCTTGAACAAATTTTCCTCACTTAGTGGCACTAGAAATAAAAGCTTATATAGATAAATATTATATAAGCTTCTTTTTTTTAATTCATTTTTAGTAAAACCTTGCTAATTGACTGACTTGGGGGACGCTAGCTCTTCATAGGAGAAATCCTACATGATTCAGACAGGCTGTCTGTGAGCTAGAGACTCAAGGAAAGGTTAAAGATGTCTATAAAACAAGTGTTTCTTATATAAACAAAACTCTGAAATTCATTATTCATACAAAAACAAACAAACCTTAGTTTTTGTAACTAATCTGACATATAAATTCTATTATCATGTAACATGACCTTTACAAGGAAAATGTTCAACTGCATCACATCTTATACAACTAAAGTTTAGGGGGGAACAAAAAAGCATTCCAAACAAAACTATTCTTTTATTTTCTTGTTTTTTTTTTTTGTTTTTTTGGCATGAGCATTTATTTACAACTCATACAGACATTTATTTAGAGACATCACACTACTAGCTTTTTGTGACGTTTGAGGGATTTTTTTACAACACAACAAAGTCTTGATTCTGTCTAAGCTGCATGTGTCCAGGAAAAGACCGGAGAGATTGTTACAGATTCCACCCACCGCTCTACTTTCCCCACTTCCATCAGGAAAACGATTCAGGAACGTTCAATCCCCAACAAACAGACTCAACCAGGAATTGTTTCATCCTCAAGGCTGCTTAGACAATCATCTCCTTTTAATCAGAGCCTTACAACCCATTTCACCCTCACACAGACAGATACAACCCCTCCGAGACAGGCCCAACAATTCCTGTACATGTGCTTTATTCAAATGACATTTCATGCTTTTATAAGTGTTTAAAAGTGTTTTGTTTTTTCCACAGAGACTGTGTGTTGCGAGAGGGGGCATTAGGGTGGGAAGGCGTGATTGAGACGGTGTATTTTTTATTTTTTTTGACTGGTCAGGTTTTGGTCTGAACTGCTCACTAAGTGCGGAGCCCATTCCCCCTGTCCTGCCCGCCTCTGCTGGCTGATGCTTTGGCTCACCAGTGCACTGGTGGTGCTTAGTGTTTGGGGGTGGATGCCTGGGCGGGTACGGGCTTATTCCTGGTGAATGCTTCACGGGGCCTGGCCCCCTCGGGCCTGGTCGGGGCTCTCGCTGGCAGCCTCGGCTCCCCGGTGCCCATGGCCGGTTCCACTTTGGGTCGGTTGGCTGCTGGCGGGGCCCACGGACTCATCCCCGCGGCTCCTGGGGGCTTTGGCATTGCGGTGGCTTGGGGATTTACTCAGGGCCATCTCTCCTCCTCTCTTGGTGGGGGATCAGATTTCCTGGGTTGGCCCCTCCTGGGCGCCTTTGCTCTTGGGATCCCTTTGGATGTCTGGGGCTTTGCGTCCCCCGATCCTCACCTCGTTGCTCCGTAGGGGCGAGTCTTTGGCTCCTCACAACCACTATTAGGCATTTGGATAAACTTTACGTGCACAAGTGCACTCTCACAAACAACTACAGGTGCTTGGCTCCAGGTACTTAGAGATATACAGAAAGCCCATATTCTTACCTTCAGCTACCACAGTATACATGTCAGATTAAATAATACTACTTATACTCCAGTGATAGTATGAAGGTGTTACTTTATTTTATCTCTTATATCCGTATAGGTTGTGTTGTTCTTTTTACATCCCTTTGCAGGCGATGAAGCAGACTGAAGATTTTTTTAATCGTTATCTCCCTTTTATCTCCTTTTTCTGTGATCTTTTCTCCTTTTTCCTGTTTTTCCTTTCCTGTTCTACTTACATTGCAGTGTCCATATAATCTGTAAAACTCCCTGCATGAATTATAATAAAGCTATTTATATGCATGAATCAAGCGGAACACTACGGCGATAGCTGTACTGCTCCACTTGTGAAAGTAAAATCTTTTGGGCCCTTTTTTTTTTTTGCATCAAGACAATTATTCTTATTGCCACATCGCCAGACAGGACACAGTTAAAAAAAAATAAACATAAAAACAAATAAGCGTTTAAAGAAACTTTCATTGTTAAAATGTGATATTTGATATCTAATGCTTTGCTTTTTTTCTTGAGGAGGAACAATGCTTATTTTAAATCATTGTTCTGCTGCTGAACCCCGGTTTGTGTCTGCTTGAGGTCAAGAACAGATGGCCGGTCATTCTCCCTCAGAATCTTTTCATGTACAGCAAAATTCTTCGTTTCAACTTTTTTACCTAGTTTTCCAGGTCCTGAAGCATTGAAGAAAAAAAAACAGCCAACCCTTAGGTCTTCGGTTGGGTTCCTGTTATGTGTTGTGTTCTTGCTTTCCCCTTTATTCTCCCTTATTTCTTCTTTAAATTTTGCAATATTGAGTTCTTTTCCTTATTAGTAAATGTCAGAACTTTCCAGTTTGCTTAGTTCTTCCTGCTTATTATATTGCAATATTGCTTCCTTGTTTTCTCCCTCTCCCTCAGTCCATTATGTTTATCCTCCTTAGCTGTGCCTACT